TTTCCCTTTCTCTCCCCATAAAGAGGGAAAAGACCTATCAGTTCCAGGCCCAGCAGTGGTGGTCCACACTGCTGAGACACTGTACTCAGCAGGCTGCGCCACGTGGGAGGCCCAGGCCCGATCTGTGGTCCACCCTAATAGCTGAGTGTGGTAGTACGCACTTATAATCCCAACAATCTGGGGAGGCTGAAGCAGGAGATCAAGGCATGACAAGATCCTGCCTTTAAAAAAAAAAATGTGTGTGTGAATGAAGAAAAAAAGGTATACCAGCAGTTCCAGAGCCAGCAGTCAAGACTATTATGTTACCTGGCAGTTTAGTAAGAGAAAAGAGGGAGAATAATTTATTCAAAATGACATACAAAATCTTCAATTAGCTGCGATTTCTATCAAAAGCACATAAAAATACAAGAGCTGCATCTACTTTCAGAACAAGTGCTAAGATAATCTTCAGTATTGCTAGTAACTACAGATAAATTATATATTCAAGAAAGGTACATGATTTGGGAACCAGCAGTTAGCGTAATGGCTATGTCGCTGGACTCTCACGTAATCAACCGCGGTTCAAGTCCCAGACCCAGTGGCTTAGAACTCACGCCGAGCGCGTGTGCTTGAGTGCCCAAGATCCTAAGAGGAGAATGGAGGAGAAGGGATTGCTGCGTGACCATCCCTCCTGGGGGGTGATTTCTCGCTTTCTGTCTCTATGTCTCTCTGTCTGTCTGGCAAGCGCATGCGCCCTATAGCAAAAAACCTCTCCAAAAAAAGAAAGAAAGAAAGAAAAGAAAAGAGAAAAGAAAAGAAAAGAAAAGAACAGAACAGAACAGAACATGATTTTGGCTGTGTGGTTCCCCATAAAATATTTTTCTCATAGAATCAACAGCAGAAAGGAAAGACTACTGAAATTCAATAAGTTTATTCTACAGTTCTTAGAAAAACACTTTGCCACAAAGTAAGGTTCAAAAACTGCTGAAAGGGCCAGCAGGTGGCAGGTGGTGAAGGTGCTGGACTCCTATATGGCCCCTGTAGCTGGTAGCTTGAAAAATCACATCAGGGGAACCAGCAGTTAGCGTAATGGCTATGTCGCTGGACTCTCACGTAGTCGACCGCGGTTCGTGTCCCGGACCCGGTGGCTTAAAACTCATGCCGGGCGCGTGTGCGTGCGTGCCCAAGATCCCGAGAGGAGAATGGAGGAGAAGGGATTGTGGCGTGACCATCCCCCCTGGGGGGGTGATTTCTCGCTTTCTGTCTCTAATGTCTCTCTCTGTCTGTCTGGCGAGCGCACGTGCCCTATAGTAAAAATCTCTCAAAAAAAAAAAAAAAAAAAGAAAAGAAAAGAAAAGAAAAGAAAAAAAAAATCACATCAGGTGCATGTGCATACGTGCCCAGAGTCCCAGGAAGAGAATGGAGAAAGTATTGTGGTGTGGCCACTGCCACGAGGGGCCATTTCTCACTTTTTCTCTCATTGTCTCTCTGTCTCTCTGGAAAGCACATGAGCGCTATGGCAAAAACCAAGAAAAAGAAAAAAATGCTGAAAGAGGAATATTCAACACACAATGGTATTCAATATCTGGCATTAAATAAGCCACATGCAGCCATTTTCCAATTATTTAAAGTAAAAACAGTAGCCCTTTAACTTCAGTCCAACAAAATCCACCATGTTAAAGTAGGAACAGACTCATGTTTCTTTCTTGGCAGTATTTATTTAATTTTACTTATTTATCATTATTATTATTTTGAGATATTTGTGCTACAGAGTGTGTGCACTGGTCAGAGACTAAGAAAGAGACAGAAATCGAGAAATCACCCCCCCACCATGGGAGATGGCAACATCGCAATCCCTTCTCCTCCATTTCCCTCTCAAGATTTTGGGCACGCATGCATGCACACACACCCAACGCTGAGATTTAAGCTGCCTGGTCCAGGACTCAAACCACAGTGGACTACATGGAAAGTCTAGCGATATAACGATTATGCCATCTGCTGGTCCCTATTACTATTTTTTAATCTGACCAGAGAGAAACACAGAGAGAGCGAGAAAGGGAACGTGAGAAAGCAACCTGCCAGAGGTTTGGGACTCAAACTGTGGTTGGCCATGTGGGAGTCCAACACCTTAACCACCACACCACCTGCCGGCTCAAACTCATGTTTCTTTACATTCCTACATTACAGACTCACAACCATTGTATTAACATGACTGACTTTTACATACTTTTTTTTTCTTTTTTGGAGAGGTTTTTGCAATAGGGCACGTGCACTCGCCAGACAGAGACATAGAGACAGAAAGTGAGAAATCACCCCCCAGGGTGGATGGTCATGCCGCAATCCCTTCTCCTCCATTCTCCTCTCGGGATCTTGGGCATGCACGCACACGTGCCCAGTGTGAGTTTTAAGCCACCAGGTCCGGGACGCGAACTGCGGTCGACTTCGTGGGAGTCCAGTGACATAGCCATTACGCTAACTGCTGGTTCCCACTTTTACATATACATTTGCAAAATATTAAACTACAAAGTATATCACATAGTTCTTTAATCATTTTATATATATGTATGTATATATTTATCTACTGTTCATTTTTATGTATGTAAAAACAAAAATCAGGAAAGCAAATCATGAAAGTTCATGCTAAAGATGTTTGTTGGGTACTGGGATATTCTAGGTGAGTAATATAGAGGGAAAAAAATAAATGTGAACATCTTCAGAATAGTTCATACACAGGAGGTATAGGAGGCCCTTAGCATTCAGATGAGTGCACTAGCGAGCAGACTGGTCAGACATAGAAGGGCTGTCCAATAACCGAAGCGGCTACGCACATGTTCTGTTTCTTGGTTTTGCTTTTTCTAGGGAACCCGTACACTTGTCAGAAACAGACTGGGGGCAGGGGTAGAGAGAGAGCACCCCCACCTCCACATGGGATGGCAACACCAAAATCTCTTCTCTTCCATCTCTTCCTCATGCTGGGATTTTGGGTACACATACATAGATACCCAGTGTTTTTTTCAAGTCACAGTCTGGGACTTAAAATGGGCAATTAGACATGTGGGATCTGGCCCTCACATAATTCGTAAGTGTGTATATTATGAGTAACTTGGAGACAGAAAGTGAGAAATCACCCCTCAGGGTGGATGGTCATGCCGCAATCCCTTCTCCTCCATTCTCCTCTCGGGATCTTGGGCATGCACGCACACGTGCCCAGTGTGAGTTTTAAGCCACCAGGTCCGGGACGCGAACTGCGGTCGACTTCGTGGGAGTCCAGTGACATAGCCATTACGCTAACTGCTGGTTCCCACTTTTACATATACATTTGCAAAATATTAAACTACAAAGTATATCACATAGTTCTTTAATCATTTTATATATATGTATGTATATATTTATCTACTGTTCATTTTTATGTATGTAAAAACAAAAATCAGGAAAGCAAATCATGAAAGTTCATGCTAAAGATGTTTGTTGGGTACTGGGATATTCTAGGTGAGTAATATAGAGGGAAAAAAATAAATGTGAACATCTTCAGAATAGTTCATACACAGGAGGTATAGGAGGCCCTTAGCATTCAGATGAGTGCACTAGCGAGCAGACTGGTCAGACATAGAAGGGCTGTCCAATAACCGAAGCGGCTACGCACATGTTCTGTTTCTTGGTTTTGCTTTTTCTAGGGAACCCGTACACTTGTCAGAAACAGACTGGGGGCAGGGGTAGAGAGAGAGCACCCCCACCTCCACATGGGATGGCAACACCAAAATCTCTTCTCTTCCATCTCTTCCTCATGCTGGGATTTTGGGTACACATACATAGATACCCAGTGTTTTTTTCAAGTCACAGTCTGGGACTTAAAATGGGCAATTAGACATGTGGGATCTGGCCCTCACATAATTCGTAAGTGTGTATATTATGAGTAACTTGAAGCCGGTACACTGAAATACTAGACAAGACGATGCAACCTTGGAAAAATGTAACTAACCAGAATGATTAAAAAAGAGTTTTAAAAAATAAAAAAATCTTCTTTCTGTCTCTATGTCTCTCTCTGTCTGGCGAGCACACGTGCCCTACAGTGAAAATCTCTCCAAAAAAAAAATAAATAAAAATAAAAAATAAAAAAATAAAAAAATCTTATTAAAAACAAATGTCATTATAAATTGATTCTAAAAGTAAATAAAGATGACATTAAAACACCATAAACTAGCTGAGTTCATCTCAGAAATCTGAGAATGACTTAATAATACAGATTTTCTGTATTTCATTACTACATTAACTGATTAAAGAAGAAAAATCATGTAGTTATCACAATGGATGCAGAA